CGTAAGAGACAATTACTATAAATACAATTTTTTTCTAAATTTTGTGTATTTTTCTGATCTCTTTCTTAAAATCTACCTTTCTCTCAAAATGGAAGGTGAAAAGGTTTTCGAAATATTTTATAATAATAATAATAATAATAATAATAATAATAATAATAATAATAATAATAATAATAAACTAAATGGGCGAATAAATAGGATACTGATGTACACTTCGTTACGGCTAATAAAATGTTCAAGTTTAAATACAACAAACCTGGTCTGGTCGAATCTGATATAAGCTTTGATTATGAGTTTGAGAATTCTAGCGTTGCAAGTTCTTTTTATAAAGAAAATGATAATATTAATACAGATGAGGTATATAAACTTAGTTTAGTTTGCTAATATTTATTTTTACTAAAAACTTTTTTTTAGTTACCTTTTCAAGAAAGTATAGATGAAGCCTCTCAAGAGAGCATTGATGAAATTTCCCAAGAAAGTATAAACAAGGTATATTTAATTTGAATTTTTTTTTATTTTTATTTTGTATTAACTATTATATAATTATTAAAGGCTAGGTTTGCGGCACCTTCACAAAATGATATTAACTATATTATTAACTATTCAGAAGTTGTGAATACAAAAAACAATACAAAAACTTGGGTTAACGCAATAAACAAATATTTTGCTGATACAAACCTTACGGGTGATATAACACAAATTAAAGATCAATATGAATTGGAGTCGATTCTTATCAATTTTTTCGTTGCTTTGAAAAAAAAAGATGGACAACCCTATGCACCTACCTCTATACATAATTGTTATTATACAATTGCTCGTCATCTTCAAAGCTATTCATGTCTGAATCCAAGACCGAATATCTATGATAAAAATGTATTTGCTCGATTATATTCAACTGTAGATAGCAAAATAAAACTTACTCAAGATAATAATCCATGTCAAACTAAAAAATCTGATGCTCTAAGTGATGACGATATTGTTAAAATTTTGAATCATGAAGAATTACTAAAGAATACACCAACTGCAATCACATATCAAGTTTACTTCTGGTTATGCCTTCTGTGTGGTTTGCGCGGTGGTGATGCACATCGTTTAGAATTTAACCATGTAAAATCGGCTCATGACAAAGTAATTCAAGTAACTATACCTCAGGAAAAAAATCATGCTGGAGGCTTGAAAAACTTAACTAATGCTAGTAGAAGTTGTGAAATACCTCCTGATATGAATGGTAAATTCATACCTGTAGCTGATATTTTATACTATATATATCGCCGTGGTCAAAATTTTAAATCAAAGGAATTTTTTTTAAAAATCGCACCTAATAAAGGTACATACATATATAATACTGTATTGTATCAATTGATAATATTACATATTAACGTAATACTGTATTGATTTCTATTTTCAGATTTTATAAGGGGAATTTGGTTCCACGATGCAACTTTAGGACAACATTCACATGAAAAAATGATTCATGAAATATGCCGTATTACAGGAATTGATACCAACCTAAAAAAAATTACAAATCATTCTTTAAGGCGCACTTCGATCCAGATACTTACACAATTAAATGTGGCTACAGATTGTATCATGGCCTTCAGTGGGCATCGATCTCTTGGTGGTGTAGCATCATACCAAAGTTTTACTCGTGAAATCTTGCATAATACAGTCTCAAAGATAATTCC